CGTAACCAATAACATCACTGTAAGATTTATGTATTTAATAGATTTATCATTTATAGATTTATGCATTTAATAAGAACTGAGTTATTTACAGAAAGAATTATTTTTCAAAGACTTTATTCAACTTGCAAAGAAAGTATCAATTTATATAAAATTTTTTATGTAAAGGAATATAATACTTACACAACCATATCATTTAGTTGAACATTTGTCAATATTTCATTTGGAGACAGTAAATCGACTATGTTTCCAAATTCATTAAGATCCTCTATTGTTATCATTTTTAAATAGTGTTTTATATTTTTAAGCAAAATTGTATATATTCTGTAATTAACAAAATGATAAGCGTGTACATATATTAAATTTAAATTAATATGTCTTATCTGTTTAGTATATAAAAATTAAGACACTATTTATTATAATATTTATAATAGTATCCTTTAACTTGCGCTAATTTCGTGTTTTTAAATATTTTTAATCGATGAAAAATAATTATAATTTTTATATACATATTTAAGTTATGTAGCAAAATTTAAAATAATAATATCGCGAATACTTGAGATATATTCACAGTAAAGATAATTTAATGGAATAAAAATAATACGTATATGGAGTGTCAAAATGTATAGTACGAATGAAAAAAAAGTATTAAAAAATATTATTAAAAAATATATCGATTTTACAATTTATTTGCATGCAATATTTGCAATTTAAAATAAATAATAAAGAAGTAATAATTATTCAAATACAATATAATAGAAGAGCATTAAGAGCCGTCGCAGGATGTTTGGAAACTTAATCAAGTGTCAGATAATAAACTTGCATTTATATCTGTGTAAGTATGCACAGGCAGCTGTGATGACAAAGAAACAACGAATGATGAATATAAATGCTTTTCTTATTTGATACTAATAAAATTAATATCTATATATACATCTTAATTAATGAAATAATTAATACACTTAATGAAAATAAAATAATAATAATAAAACTGAGAAAGAACAAATCATCACATAACACAGTGCTCGGAATTAGTCTGAACATTTCAGCCGATTTCCGTGGTATACGCCTCCTTTCCTCTCCTTACCGCGCGCGCCGCAGCCGCTAGGGCCAGCGCCGCCGAGCGTTAGGACACTATCTGATTATGAGTGGGTTCTTCTCCCTATTTATTAAAATTTAAAAAAATGTATTAAAATTTATTAAAAATAAATTTTTTATTTTTAAATTTATTATTAAGTGGAAATATTTCAATAGATTTCCACGTCACCCATAAGATACTAATGTTGACGCGTTTTTTTAAAGTAGTTTCCCCCGTAGATCTATTCTACTAAAGATAAAAATAAATTCTTAATTTAAAAAAATATATATATAAAAGAGATTTTTTTAATTAGATTTTCTTGACCTTTTATGAGAATGAACAATTGATGCAATAATGTAGATAGAAACCACTTTTTGAAAAACGTGTCAGTATTAGTACCTCATGGGTGACGTAGAAATCTATTGAAATATTTCCACTTAATAAATTTAAAAATAAAAATTTATTTTTAATAAATTTTAATAAATTTTTTAAAATTTTAATAAATAGAGAGAAGAACCTACTCCAGAACCTAATCAGATCTCAGAGTAAAAAGAAACAGGAGGGAGCGTTTGGTCTTAAAAGTGCGGACGGAAGTGACTATATAAAGTGGTCGCTCAAGATGGCCGCTCAAGGGCGCCAATATCGAATGACTTGTTATGTTTAATTAGAAAATAATGTACAATTAAAAGAAAATAACTATAATATGCAACAATAATACCAAATTTTAATGGCGTTTTTCATTGGGATTGCACTCGTGCAGTATTTCCATAAGAGCAATGTTAAAATCTAAAATCTAAATTTATATTAAATCCTTCGTCCTTACAAAAATTTATCCATGCATTTCTTTGATCCGGATTTTTCGGAAACCTGTTTATGAGTGAAAATTATTTAGTAATTATTGTGAATCTACAATTTCACAATACTATACATATGATTATAATCTCCAAAATAAAATCTCATTATTGTTGATAATACTAACCGATGAAACGTTATTCCATGATTTCGAGCTGCTGCTGTTATGCCACAAGCTCTACAGTATACCATTTTGATTCGTTTATTTCCATT